ATTTATTGACACTGTCACCTGTCTGTTTACCCTCGCTCCACGGACAGACCATACCCAGCAGGATGGGAGGGGCAGGGGGTTCAGATTTCTTCTTGGACACTGGGGCTCTGACAACAGGAAAGGCTGCTGGAGACGCTTGTACTGACAACCTCCTCGGCCAGTGTGGGCCAGACAGTGCAGCCCGGGGAGAGAGGGCAACTCTGACGAAGGAGCCACCAGTGTCTGAGCATTAATGCAGTTGGTCCCTCCTGGTCCCCTGCAGTGACCCAGCCTGAGCTGAGCTCTGAAGCAGGAAGGAAGTCATCCTGAAAGCCAAAGTTCAGGGTGGTTCAAGCCTCTTTGATCTCACACCATTATTGGATAAAAATAAACATGTTGTTTCAAATATTTTATTTCTAAATTGGTGTTTGCTTACCTCAATATTGCATAGTAATAACGTTTAATGGCTTTTTTGTTTTTAAAAATGCTTCTAAAGAGAAATCCTTCCTGCTCTGGCAGATCGCTCAGTGGTTTGAGCGTTGGCTCTCGGACCAAAGAGTTCGGTCAAGGGCACGTACCTCGGTTGCGGTTCCTCCCCGGCCCTGGTCAGGGTCATGTGGGAGGCAACCAGTCAATGTGTCTCTCTCCCATCATGTTTCTCTCTCTCTCTCTCTCTCTCTCTCTCTCTCTCTCTCTCTTTCCCCCTCCCACTCTGTCTGAAGATAAATGGAAAAATATCCTCAGGTGAGGATTTTTAAAAAAGAAAGAGAGAAATCCTTCCCACAGCCCGAGAATTGCCGCGCGCCCTCACTTGGGAGACCTTCTTCACAGCACGGGAGAGAGTGAGCGTGGAGGGAGCTTACAGCCACCCATGGCTTGAGCGACAAGCTGTGTCCTCTCTGGACCTGCGTTCCTCCATCTCCAAAATCGGGACCACAGAACCTGTCACTGTCACTCCTGCCTGCGAGTTTTAACAGCAACACCAGCTTAGGTGCAAAGTGCAAAGTACCGTAAGGATCTGCTGGGGGCATAACTTCCAGGGGCCTGGAACGCTGGTGCTTGTGTTCTCAGAAGTAGGCAACGCTTTGGGGGCCAGAAAGAAAGCTCAGGTGTGAACCAGGAATACCCGCCACAGGGCAACCGTGGAAGGTGTATACCCACCCAGGCAAAGCTACACTCAATGGCCACAATCAGGTCCTCTTCCAAGGCTACATCCTGTTGAGGGGGAGAGGAGCCCGGAGGGGAAAAGGGATGTCATCAGGACTCTGAAACAAATGTTGTTGACTTCTTTGCCTCTGGCAATATCCAAAAACAATGTTGTAGTAATATTACTTGCTAGAAGTTATGATTGATTTTTTTGTTTGTTTGTTTTTTGTACGTGCCCCTAGCGGGAACCAAACCCGGAACTCTCTGGTTCACAGGCCGATGCTCCAACCACTGAGCCGAACCGGCCAGGGCTCTTGCTAGAAGTTATAACACTAGCTACTACCATTTGCTGAGCACTCAGGATTCCCAGTACTTTACCTGTATTATCGCATATAGTTTTTGAAATAATACCAGAGGTAAAGTATTATTACCCCATTTTACATATGGGGAGCTTAAGACTCCAGAGACATTAAATAAGTTGTTAACCAAAGACCCCTTGCTGCTCAGTGGCAAAGCCAAGTTTCAAACCCAGGTTCTCTGGCCCTAAGGCCATCTTCACCACCATACTGCAGCCCACCATGCTGCCTTCCTCCCTGGGGGCCTCCATCTTTGGGAGACAAGTAATGATGTCCTTCTGTCCGTCCCCCTTCAGACTCCCAGAGAGATGGGGGTCCCACAGGGCCGCCAGCAGCCTGGAGCCACGCCCCAGATGAAGGGCACCAGCAGCAGGGAGCGTTGACACTCACCCAACCCTAGCCACACTCTCACTGAGCTCTCGGACTGGGCCCACACGTGGGGTACACCCTGCTGGGGAACCGGGTTAGGAGCACCGGCCTCGGAACCCCAGCCCCGCCGCTCATTTGCTGTGCCTTTCTTAGCAAGGGGCTTCCTCTCTTGGAGTCTGGGTTTCCTTATCAGTGAGATAACACCTATCTCACGTTCTTTTTGTGACTGACTCATTTATTCACTCAACAAATATCAGGTTGAACCATACAAAATTTAACTTTTTTTACTTACAATAACAGCAATTTCATATTGTTTAACTGTAGTTTTCTTGGGTGCTAAGTTAGTCATGGTTCTCCAAAGAACCAGGGAAACAGAACCAATAAGATAGATAGATAGATAGATTTATTTTAAGGAATGGGCAGATTCCCCTTATTTGAAGGGACTGGTAAATCTAAAAGCTATAAGCAGACTGGCAGGCTGGAAATTGAAATCAGGTAACAATTGACATTGCAGCCTTGAGTTCGAATTCTGAAAGCCTCCGGCAGGGTTTCTATGTGAAAGTCTTCAGGAGAATATTTTCTTCTTCAGGAAACCTCAGTTTTTGTCCTTAAGGCCTTCACCGGGTTAGATGAGGTGTCAGCTGATTCTAAGTATGACTCATATCTATAATAGCTTCACAGCAACATCTGGACTAGCATTGAAGCAAACAGCTGGTTACCATGGCCTAGCCAAGTAGACATAAGGTTAACATTGCCAGTGCTGCTCCGTACTAGGCACTGTTCCGGGCGCCGAGGGTACGAGTGAGTGAAATGATCGAAGGTGCCTGCCCTGTGGGAGCTTACATTCTGGTGTAGACAGGGACAATAACCAGCATAATAACTAACTGTACATTCCGTTAAGAGGTGAAGTCGTTATAAAGGTAATAAATTAGGCTCAGGGATGGGAAAGGGGCTGGGAGGCGCACCTGCGGAGGGTTGGGGCAGCCCCACTGCGCGGCCGGAGCTGAGCCGCGGCCTGAGGGGTGAGGGTCCGCCCGGCAGTGTTCTGGGCGGAGGGAGCAGCCCACGTGGAGACGCTAAGGCAGGAGCGAGTTTGTCGTGGTCTGGAACCAAAGGGAGGACCGTCAGGGGAACAGAGTGAGTCAGGCGGAGAGGGGCAGGAGATGAGCTCACAGAGGCCCTGTGACACCTCGTAGGCCGCTGTCAAGGGGTTAAGTCGGAGATACAGACATGTCAGGTGCCCAGCTCAGAGTCTGGCAGAAGCCATCATCCTTCTTGGTGACCTACGTCCTTGGGCACAGGCCAGTGGATTCTGGGTTAGTGCTCTTTCCTCGCCGATGATCCCCCCACCTTGGATTCTGTGCCCTGGACTCCAGTGTAACCCATTTCAGTTCCCAACAGGGGTTTGGGGAGCCGGTGGACCACCAGGACAGCTGGAGATCCAACAGCACTGGCTGAGCTGGTGGAGGAGGGGCTGCCCCCCCCCACTCCCACCCCTGCTTATGGCCACAGCCCCCGCTGCCCCTGGAGCCAGGCCTGCTGGCCTGGACCACCCGCAGCCAGGCTTTGTTCCTGAGTTTCCAAGAACTCTTTTCCTGACAAACAAAGCCCCCAGCCCCGCCTGCTGCCGCCCCACAGGCACCTGAGGCCTGCAGGCCTGGGAATCAAAGCTGTTTTGCAAAGGAGCCCTGTGTTTGGAGAAACACCCATCCCCTGCTGCCCAGTCCTTCAAAGAGCCCGCATTGTTCTGCCCTGAGAAGGCGCCTCCTGACTGGAGGGCAGGGTCCGGGCTGACGTGGGTGGACCTCTGATCTCAGGCCAGGCCCCCACCCCACTGGGGGAAGGGAGGGATGCAGGACCCAGCCAGGAGAGGTCTGACCCGAGGGCACTTGCTCTTTCCTGTCCTCTGCCCACCTGAGGCCCCATCCCTTGTGTCCTCGCGGAGGCCAGCACAGGGCGGCCCAGGCCCTTTTACCTGCCAGGCGAAGCGGAGCTACAGGGACATCAGGACAAGAACGGACGTACAGACCACAGGGCTGTGCCAGGGCAGTCATGTCAGACCATGTGCAAGAGGCCCCCATTTCACAAATTGTGAGCCTGAGGCCAGAGAACAGATGGAGCTGGACCCAGAGCCCAACTCGAGCTGGGGGGACATCGGAGCACCTCTCCTCGCCCTCCTTGGTGATGAGACCAGACCGAAACACAGACCTCTGACTCAAAGTTGGGTGCACTTTCTTCTTTTTTAGAAATATTTCGTATACACTGTTCCCCTCAGCGCTGTTTTCATTGCAACTTAACTTTCGATAGTGGTAAACTTTACTTTAGATAAATCCTCTTAAAAGAGAGTGGAGGCCACAGAATGAGCAGTGGGGTCCAGGTGGGTCCTGATCACACCGCGGGCACCTGGACGCGCTCTGCTGCCTCCCCTCCCCCCTCCTGCCATCCCACACAGCCCAGGGTTAGCGGTGGGGTCTCTCAGCCCACCCCTATTACACAGGTCTCTCAAGGCCTCCGCCCAAGGTCAGACAGGAAACCAGGGAGAAGCTGCGACTCAGAATCACATCTCGGCTGCTACTTGCATTCTCTTTCCCCTCCAACTGCACTGACGAAGCCGTGGCGTTCCACGTCCCTTTGCCACAATGTCCCCAACATTTACTCTGGAACCCAGGGTGTGATGAAGAGCAGAGACTGCGATCAGAGAGATCAGACAGTGACGTTCACTGCAGGACCTTAACCGATCACCGTGCCGGTTCTGAGCCTCAGTTTCCTCCTGGTCAAACAAGAACCACAGCCATTGTGAAGATAAACTAGGGGGAGAACGGGTATTGTTTAGAAAGTCCGTAGCACACAATAATAAACATTTAATCAGTATCATCACCACGATTTTTGTTACTCCTTTCACTATTTGGCGGAGGAAAGGACGCAGGGTAAGGTGGGGCGCTGTCTTTGTGGGAGCTGCTTCCCTAGGCAACCGGCAACAGCTCCTCCCTGTCCTACAGGGAGAAGAAAGGGGCAGTCAGGGAAGGGGTGTTGCAGGGAAAGACTTTTGATCTCCAGCCTGGGACTTGCATTTCACCTACTTGGCCTTCTGGGCACCCAGTGTTATCTTTGACAGTCAGGATGTTGCTGTCCTGGTCATCTTTGTCAAGCGCCTAATCACCAGAGAGGTCACTTCCAGCCCCACATTCCTGGAAAATTCCACAAGACGGATTGTGCAGACCATGTGGCAGAGTAGAAACTGTGCTGACACTTTGAGTAAGCCCCTTAACTTCTGAGTGACAGACAAGCACAGCCCTTAAAGGTTCCACTAGCTGTGTGTCTACTCAAGGGAGTTGACCTTCCCTCCTTCTGAATGACAGGTTGGGGTGGGGGGACACAGGAGCTCAAGGACCAAAACAAACACCTGTTGAGGATCTGCCACCATGCTAGGGACTTTCTTGTCACCCATTCGATGAGTTCTCCCAACCACCTTGTACCTCCATTTTTGCAAATGAGGGCGCTGGGGTGCAGAGACCTTGCTTGTCCAAGATGACCCAGCTAGCCAGGCGGTGAGCTGGGATATGAACCCAGCTCCTGCTTGACTGAGAAGCTGTCACCCTCCCACTGTCCCCTCTGTCTTCTTCACCATGTGCTGGGCACCCTGCTAGTGGCGTTGCCCCCAGGATCAGTAGCCTCATTCACTCTTCACCTGAGATGGAGGCAGAGGGTGGACATCGTCTACCGATGAGGAGAGCAGCTTCAGAGAGGCTGCCCCGCCTGCCTGAGGCCACACAGCTCTGGAGGGGCGGAGGCCTGTGGGTCCTGCACTCGCCTTCAGTCCTGTGCCGCCCTGCCTCCCCTCCAATCCCCTGGCTAGACTCTGGACAACGTGGCAAGAAGAGCCGTGATGCGTGTTCATGGTAAGGGGGTTTGAACCCCAGAGGGCGTTTAATCCTTGCAAGGACCTTCCTGGAGGGGGAGTCAGGGAAAGCTTCTGGGTGGAAGAAAACTTTTGAGCCGAAACATGAAAGAAAAAGTCTAGGGGTTTAGGGAAAGGTTGTTGTGAATCAAAGGATTAAAAAACAAAACAAAAAGACAGGCTGTTGGGTTAATTACAGAAAGAAAATGTGTCAGGTTACCACATAAATATATTCACTCATTCACGCACGCGGTCATTCACCACCTCCCACAGCTTCACCTTAAACCTGGTTGACAGCCATATGGCTTAGCTCGAACATCCGCGCCTGACCACACCCTCCAGTCTTCCACACAAGCCCTGGGCATCACACTGGCTTCTTCGGCCACTGACCTCCGTTCTCTTCCAACCCATCATCCCTCTGCCACCTCATGTTCTACCCCCTCCCCAAACCTGGCAACTACTTTTCCACTCTCTGTTTCTATGAGTTTGACTTTTGTTGTTTTTAGATTCCACACGTAGAAGTGGGTTTGTCTTCCTCTGACTTCTTTCACTTAGCATAATGCCTTCAAGGTCTACCATGCTGTCACAAATGGCAGGATTTCCTCCTTCTTCGTGACTGAGTAATATTACACTGTGTATATACCGCATCTTCTTTGTGCATTCATCCAGTGACGGACACTTACGTTGTTTCCATGTCTTGGCTATTGTGAATACTGCCGCAGTCAACAGGGGGCTGCAGACGCCTCTTCAGGATCCTGTTTTCATTTCCTTTGGATAAACACCCAGAAGTGGAATTACTGGATCACAGAGTGATTCTATTTTTAATTTTGTGAAGAGTCTCCATACTGTTTTCCACAGGGGCTGCACTAATTTACATTCTCACCAACAGCACCCAAGGGTTCCCTTTCCTCCACACCCTCATCAACACTTGTTACCTGTGTGTTTCTGATGGCAGCCATTCTAACAGGTGTGCGTCATGTTCTTGATCACAGCTCCGAGTCAAGGTCCAGTGTTTCAATAACGGTCTTGCCAATGCCACTTCTCTTGGCCTCGTTGGTGGAGCAAACACCTCTCTACCTGCTCTCTCCATGCCTGTGCCCAGCAGTCAGACAGTGCTGAGGCTGGCACGTCACAGGGAGGGAGCTTCCCGGGAACTCTGGGACCCCTCACTTCCAGTGGGCCTTGGGCACTGCCCACATCAACCAATGACCACTTCACACCTTCACCACACTCCTCCAACCTGCTTCCCCTGTAGTGACAGAGCAAGGAGATGCCATCCTCGTATTCTCCCACACTCAGGCAGGCACATACCTCCACCCATCCCTTTTCTTTCCCTCTGTTTCAACGTGGGAACTGACAGTGTCATCCAAGGCCAATTCTCCACCTGCATTTTGGCACCCTCTCTCTCCCTTTCTCCAGAACTGAGTATTTCTTATTATCCCTTCTTTGCTTTGGATTTTCTCTCTACCTCTCCATCAGACCCTTCCTGTTAGCCTTTAAATACAAACCACCTTGTTAGACAAAAACGAAAGCCAAGTCCCTCAACCTCACAACCCCCCCAGCAACCACTCTGCCTTTCTTACCTGCACGGCCGTCCTCAAGGGGGCTGTGCACCCCGTCCCGTGTCCTCACCCCCACTCGCCTTTCCTGACAGCTCCAGTGAGGTGTAACTGACACAACAGACCGCACATGTCGGAAGTGTACAGTGTGGTGAGCCTCTCTGTATGTATACACCCGTGAAACCACCACACGATGACAACAATGGACACCTCCATCGGCCGCCCAAGTCTCTTTGTGCCCCTTTATCAGCTTCATGCTCCATCACTCCCTGAAAACTCGCCTGATAAAGGTACTGGAGAGCTGCAGCTCACTGAGTCTGATGGAGAGTGGGCAGCTGCCCCTTACCTCAACAGTACCCACCCCAACCCAGACGCAGGGGCCTCTAGCCCCAAACCTGCTCCTTTCCAGCTCCACCGCCATCCAAGTGCCAGTGCAAACCAGGAGCCTATGAAGTGCTCTTGACACACTGTGGAGATACTGCAGCAAGTACCATCCATTCCACCTCCCTATTATCTCTGTTCCCTCCCCCACTTTACCATCACCACCTTAGCTCACAACGCCTTCACCACTCCCCTGCGCCACAGCCCCGGTCCCGGACTCCCTGCTGGTCACACACTTCCCTTCCAAGCTGCAACCAGAGGAATCGTTTTTTGGTTTTTTGTTGTTGTTGTTTTTTATCCTCACCCGAGGACATTTTTCCATTTTTTGTTCAGATCGAGTGGGAGGGAGAGAAAGAGAGAGAAACATTGACGTGAAAGGGACACATCGAGTGGTTGCCACCCGCACAACCCAACCAGGGCCGGGGACAAACTGCAACTGAGGTATGTGCCCTTAGCGGGAACCGAACCTGGGTCTCTCTGGACCACAGGCTGATGCTCTAACCACTGAGCCAAACCAGCCAGGGCCAGAGGGATCTTTTTGGAAAGCAAGTATGATTATATCATCCCCTCCCCCACTTAAAATATAGACAAAGACTAAAACCCACAACACCGCCTTCAAGGCCTGTGCGGTCCAGCCTCTCCTCTCCAGCCCCACCTACCCCACTCTGCCTTGGTCCCTGGGTTCTCACCACACTGGCCTCTTTTTAACTTACTGGGAGCCCCCCATCAGAGGTTGCTCCCTGTCCAGAATGTTCTTCCCAACCATGTTTCAGACCTTGGCTTGATGATCACTTCTTCAGGTGAGCCAGCCTTGACTTTCCTTGGTTTATTGCCTTGCCCTATCTTCACTCAGCACTCTGCACCTCGCTTTGGAGTATGTGCCACAGTTGTAACTTGATTGTCTGTGTGCTGTTTCCCTTACAATATCCTTTCCCTTTCTAAATTCCTGGGCAAGGGGCTGGAGCAGTTTTTGCTCACCATGGTACCCTCAGTGGCCTAGGGGACCTAGTCCTCGGCATTAGTAAGAAATAAGTGGTAAATTAATGAGCATCTACTGTATGTCATGCTCTCCTGTATATTGGCTTGCATTTAATCCTCACAACAACCTTGGCAGGTGGATATTTTGCTCCTTTAGAGGAGGTCATCAAGGCTCAGAGAAGCTAAGAAACGTACCCATGGTCACAGAGCTGTAGATAACGGAGCCTGAGCAAGAACCAGGTCTGCGGGACTCTGCTCCTGTTCGTTTCCCCAGCGGCCGGGCCGCGGGAGAAGACATCTCCGATTCGCTCTGTGCTCCGAGGGCCTGTGCGTACCTGGTGCTCTGCGGGGTCACCTCAGCTCATTCTCAGAATCAGCCTGTGAGGGGGCTGTTGGCCTTTTCCAAATACAGTCATTGAGGTGCAGAAAGACTATGCACAGAGCCCGAAGTTACTCAGCAGAGTCGCAGGCCTGGGTTCCTCGCCCAGGGCAGCAGGCTCTTTCCGTGGCAGCAGACATAATGGAGCAGGCGAGTGAGGGCACAGCCAGGATGGGGGACCTGGAGCCCACATCCAAAGACTGAAATGCTTCTGGGTTTTTTCCCCTGGCGCACCCTTGCCACCTGTGTCGTGCTGGCTTTGAGAAATACTCGTACCTGAAACTGCTCTGTTGACCCAGGACCAGAGACTTTCCAACCAAGGGGGAAGCAAAGGTAGTCACGCCAATCCCTGGTGTCTAGATGGAAGGAGACAGCCTGACCCTGGAGCTGATTTTTACCTCAGCTTAAAAAGCAACTGTTCGTAGGGTGACTTTTCAAGGACAGCTGGTGTCAGCCATCACCCTCCCTCCAGGGCACAGTGTGGAGTGCAAGGGGGCGGGGCCGGGCTCACAGGGCCAGGTGCCTGCAGGCTCTGGGCAGAACCAGCCAGTTTCCAGCTGGACTAGAACCGAGAGCCCTGCGGCGCCGGAGCTGCTTGGGCCTGAGCCTGCCCGCCTGCTGGTAGGTGGGAGAGGCGTGGAGGACGGAGGACGTGCTGCAGAGGTCTCTGCGAAGGGTGGTTCCCGGGGAGGCTTCCTCTGCCTGGCTCAGGGACAGAGCCACCATCAGCGCCTCTCTACAGAGGACCCACTAGTGCCGTCATGGTTTCCCTTGCTCATGCCTTTAGTGAAGAGAGAACCACATTGAGCAACGTTTCTTGAATTATTTATGACACATCTGATCCGCCTTTTTGTGTTACTGCACTTGAGTGCCAAAGCAATGTCAAATCGCTGCGAAGTGTATCTAAATGCTCACTCAGAATGTTGGGGCTGGCCTCACTGTGGACTGGTAACAGTTTGCAGACCTGCACTCCATGGACCACACTTGGAGGAGCTCTGAAAGAGAGGACTCACTATAAGCTAAGATTTGGGGGGAGGGTGCATGGGGAGACCCAAGAATGAAAACGACCTTGTCTGCTGCTCTGGAGGAGCACAAGCTCTGGAGACACACACCTGGGTTCCAGTTCTGCCATACCAGATACTAGCTGCATAACCTTGGGCAAGGCGCTTCTGTAGGCTGAGCCTCAGTTTCTTTATCTGGGAAATAGGAGCACTTAGTATGAAAGATATGTGTTGTTTCTTTTTTCCCAGTGTTTGGAAAAAGACAGCATCTGACTCCCTTTTGTGTTTGGGTGGGCTGGCCCCTTCCCTCAGCTTCAGGGCTGGTTCCATAACCTAAGAGTGGCCAGTCAGCAGTTTCAATCGTCCTGAGCACTGACTGGTCCAGAGATGGGCACATACACAAATGCAGCCACTGCACGTCTGTCTTGGGTCCCCTACTGGATGTATGAGGAAGAGATGCTCCTTTTCTGCTGGGGTTGCTAAGGACAAGGAGAGTCTTTTTAAAAGTAAAGCCAGTATAGAAGGTTTGGAGAGAAAGGCTCCGGGTAATAATGTTGGAGTGCCTGGATCCCGGTCAGCTTCCACCGTCCCCTCCCTCCCTTCTCCCCATCACTGTTCTTGGTCACGCTCCATCAGCTCCCCGCCTCCTCCCTGGGCTCCGCACAGACACGGATAAGCGGGTAAGCGTCTAGGAGGGGTAAGGTCAGAGAATGCAATCTAAGGTGAAAAGGCGGAGACCAGCCGGGAAACTTCGCACAAGTCGCTTCTTGTCTCTGGCATTCGGTCTCCTCCCTGGTCACGTGGGGGTGTGGCCTGTCTCAGACTCTCAGGGTTCTCAAGGACTTGGCACAGTCATAGGCAGACATGGTTTAGAGGCTTAAAGTGCTAAGCATTTACCCAGGACTGTTGCTGGCATTTTACTGATTTCCTGAGGCCACGGGACACGTGTAGGTAGACACCATGTAGGGAAAGGGCTTGATCAGAAAGATCTAATCTCCACTTATTAACTGTAACACGGTGCCTATGGTTCAGCGTCTCGGAGTCCTTGTTTCCCCGTTTTTAAGATGGGTCAATGATAGCACCTACCTGACAGGACAATTGTAAGAGTGATCATGTAGATAAAGCACATAGTATACAGTAGGTGCTTTTCAATGGACTTTATACTTTCTTTTCAAGGACCCCAAATGTAGGGGAAAACCAGGCGATTAATGCTCAGAAAAGATTTGGTGGTCTGCTCAGCGTATGGTGTTACTCCACTGCTGCTCCCTTCTGAACAAGATGTGGCCTGGAGATGTTACTAATTCCTGCCTGAGATGCACCATCCTCTTGATATCCTTCTCCCTTTCCCCTTACCCTCTTTGATCCAATCAGTTGCCAAACTCTGTCCATTCAAACTCGGCAACCCTCTTTCACCAGGCTGCGTGCTCCCGGTCATCTTCCCATCCCCTTGGCCCTGCACAACCTCCACTCTGCTTCCCTTCTGTCCCTGTCACCACCTCTCCCCCATAGCACATTCTGGGGCTGTAAGAGGCTTTCAGAAACACTGTCCTAAGTTCAGAAAACCTCCACGGCTTCCTACTTATTTCATGCTAAGCATAAAGGATGATTGCTTAACCGTTTGAACTCCCCAAGCAGTCAACTAAATTCCCCTGGCAGGATCTTTGTTCAGGCTTCTCAACCCAGTGGAATCTGCTGACCACTCCTCTGGTTTGATCACAACTAGACCTTATCACCCAGACCTGCTCCAGCTCAGGAATTCTAAACTCCAAAGTCTCCAGCATGACGCCGCTGTGGAAGGGGGGAAAATCTCCCTCTTTTTCCTTCTTCATCGTCTGGCTGGTCTGATCTCAGCACTTTGACTTCCACCAGATCCCGCAGACGGAGACCTGGGAAAGAGGGAAAGGCTAAGCTGGTAAGAACTCTTACCTTCTGCCAGTGCGTATGAGCTGCCCCAAGATCTCATCATTCGCAGCAGTCCCAGTGTGAACTCTGTCCGGCCAGTGAAGTCTCCTGGCTGGCTTGCCAGCTGTGGGGGAGGGGAAATTTCCTCCCTTAGTTCTTCTGGTTAGTCTAGTAATGAAATTGACATGAGGCAGATTAACAGGAGAAAATTATCAAATTTAATGACTTATATCCATATTGGGTCCCATAAGAATATGGGGCCCAAGGACATATCAGGTAATCAGGGTTTATCTGCCATGTTGTGCTAAGGAAAAACTGGGGTTGTGGTTTGGGACGTCAAAGGGAAGGAAGGCAATTCACATGGAGATGGAAAAACAAATGTTGGTTAAACAAATGTTTGCTGGGCCATCTTTAGCCATGGGACACGGGAGGACTTTGATCAAGGAGGCCATGCTGGGTTCCTCTGTCTGTCACACACAGTTCACACTGAACTGTAGTGATCTAAGATGATGGCTTCCTTCCTGGAGCAGGTCCTTCCTAAAAATGTCTAGGCTGTGAGGAGGATGGCCAAAGGTTTTACCTGAGTCCTCTATTTCTTAAAAGTAACCTGCTTGAAATAACCGATATCCAAAGAGGCATACTTTGGGGTGGCAGCCTGTGCTCCCTTTCACCACAGATACTTCCCTCTCATACTCTTCCTCCAGGGACATCAGCTCTGTGATGTTATCAAGGTCCCCATCTTCTCCCTGTCTCTCAGCCCCTTCGGGCCAGACCTATCCTACCAACTCCATCGGTCTTCCCTCCAAGCTCACCTGTCTCTTGGCCCCTTCCATTCCTCCAATTGTACAAAACCCAGCTCTGGGTCAGCTCACCCATCCGCTCCCTCAGTCCTCCCCACCCGTGACCTGGAAGAAGTGCAGAGTGGTTAAGGGCACCCACAGGAATCAATCCAAAGGCTCCACTACCTACTCGGTGTATAACCTTGGGCAGATTACATAAGCTTTTGGTCTGCAGACTCCTCATCTGAAAAAGAGAAAAGTAATAAAACATATCACTCTGGTGAAGGGTTTGATTCCTATACCAAAGATATGGCAAAACCCTCAATCACTTGATTATGTTGACATTGCTTTGTATCTGCATGGCTACTTCACTGGGTCAGTGGAAGAATAAAATAAATAATGCACTTAGAACTATGTCAGGCACGGGAGAGGCATTCCATAAATGTTGGCTGCTGTCGTTATTACTGAGATTGGTTTCTTGGGCTGCTGTAACAAACCACCACAAACTGGGTGGTTTAAAACCACAAAAATGTATTGTTTCACAGTTCTGGAGGCCAGAAGTCTGAAAATCAGGTGTCTGATGGATTGTCTCCTTTTGAGCCTCTGAGGAGGAATTGATTCATGCCTCTCTCCCAGCTTCTCGTGGCTGCTGATCCTTGGTGCTTCTTGGTTTGTAGCTGCACAATTCCAATCTCTGCCTGTGCATTCACATTGTCTCCTCTTCCATCTGTCTCAAATCTCCCTCTGACTTTCTCTTAGAAAGACACTTGTCATTGTATCCACGGCCCACTCTAAATCCAGGATGACCTCATCTTGATATCTTTAACTTAATTACATCTGCAGAGACCCTTTTTGTAAATAAGTTCACATTCACAGGTTCCAAGGGTTAGGACTTAGACAGAGCATTTTGGGGGTCAGCATTCAGCCCACTACAATGGTCATTACAAAGAGTTTCATTGGAGAGATGGGAGTCAAAGCCAGATTGCAAAGAATTAAGAGAAAAAAGGGAGAGGAGAAATGCAGATAATTATGTCAGAGAGTTGGTTAAAAAGGAGTGCAGACGGAAAGGGAGCTAGAGGGGTAGAGGGGATTTTTGTTCCTGTTTAAAATATGGTAGACACTTCCTTGAGCTTCTTGGAAGGAAAAAAAAAAAAAAAGATGGTTGAAAAGGAGCAAGCGCTTGAAAATACGAGAAGGAGAGAAGAGATGCAGTGGAGTAAGGAGCGAGCCCCAGAGCAGAGTCACCCTCAACAAATCAGGGCTGAATGGGTGACTCAGTAAATACCAGCTGCATGGGCCAGCCACCGACTGACAGCAGCCACAAAACAAGTCAGAACAGAGAAGAAAAAGTGAGACAAGGAGCCACAAAAGGCAAGAGAAAACATAACCAACCAACCTCTGGGAAAGCCTGAGACTTAAAAGGGCTGAGCCAGAAAATATCTCTTGGGCTGCTTAAGAAACATTCTTTCTCAGGTTTCTCATCTGAAGCTCCCAATACCACTGGGGGGGGGGGGGCAGGCAGAATTATGATGCCCCTTGGGTGAGGAAGAAACTGAGACCCAGAAAGCTTTGGGGTTACCAAAGAACAAACAGATAGTTGGTGTTGCCAAAGGATGCACTGAGCCCCCAGCTGAGACAGTGGAATGTCCAGGAAAGGCCTGGGGACCCTGTCACTGAAGCCCCACCCAGCAAAGGCCGCTCCTTTATACTGTTGCTTACATTCCCCTTTTTGCACTGTCCTGCCTGGGCTTCCAAGAGACGGATCTGCCCTGGTTTTCAACCTCTTGGATCTTTCTCAAGACCCTTTCCAGAATGCCTTTTCTTTCTCCAACTCTTCAACAGATCCAAAACCAATAGATTCACCTTATTTCATTCAGAACTGGCTCTTCCTCCTGTATTCCCTACTGGTGATGGGCACCACCAGCCACAAATCTGCCTCTGCCTGTCCCAAACATCTGTCAATCACCAAGTAATGCCTCCTGCCTCTTAAATACCTCCTGAGCCTGCTCCCTCTCTCCCTCCCAAGGCCTTGTCACCCTGCCTTAGCTGAACCCAGAAATAGACTCCCACCAGGTTTCCCCGCCCCTTGGCTTCTCCAATCTATCCTTCAAACTACTACTCCAAGATCTTCCTAAATCACAAAGATGATGTGATTGCTCACCAGTTCAAAGATTGCTTCTGGCTTTCCCACCTCTGCGGGGTAAAGCACAAACTAGCTTTAGTAATAGTCCTTCATGATCAGTCTCCTACCAGATTCTCCAGCCTCATTAACCCTGAGCATATCCCACCCTCCAGCCATGCCTACAGCGTGTCCAGGTGGTCCCTACCACTTGGAAAGTCTTCCTCCTTCCCACCCCTGTCTGCTTCGAGCCAGCTCAGGTATCTACTCCTGCAAGAAGCCCTCCCGACCTTTCTTCCCGTGGAGTTAATCCCTCCACATACACTGTTCTCCCTTCTCTTGTCATATTTCTCATACTTTACAGTGACTGATCACCTGCCTGTCTACCCACCAGACAGGGCAGAGATCCCCCAGTTCCCGGGTTGGAATTTAGGAGCTGACACATGCTCTGTGCCCAGTTAATCTTTGCTGGACTGTGCTGAACTGTCACAGTGTATACCAGTCTACCATAGTGTGTAGTTTACTTACTCATTGCTTTGTTATTTCCACTGCTTTCCATGACACCACAATTGGCTCAAAACATCTTTATACGAGTTTATTATTTCCCCCTTTCCATTATGTACTTGAAATATATTTTCCAAACTGGGTTTACTTGGTTAAAGCTTATACTTAAGTGCATGGCTTTTAATAGGCATTGTCACATAGTTCTCTAGAAAGATCGCATCAATTCACATCACTATGTACACACGTGGGTCCCTGCAACACTGCCAGTGCTGTTTTACACTTTCATTCACATTTGCTACTTTAACGGGCATGCAGAGGGGCTGGTCTCCCCTTCACCGGGCTTTCTCTAGTCCTAGAGAGGCAGTTAAAATGCCACGACAGAGGGTAGCAGAGGGGACTGTGGGAGCCCAGGATGGAGTGGAGGTGGGGGTCTAATCCAGGCTGAGAAATTCAAGGAAAACTTCCTAAAGGAGAAGACATCTACATCGGACCCAATAAGCTGATATTTCCAGTGGCTCTGAGTCTTCCACAACATCCCCGCTGCCCTGGCTGTTCCGACCTTACCTCTCCCCCTTCACTCCTCTCTTGCTCCGAGGCTCCCAAGTCCCAGGGAGAGTAAGCACAACAGCTCAGCGGGAATACATATTTTTCCCATCTCACAAACCAGGAAACTGAGGCTCGCATGGACCACGCAGATAGTGACGGGCAGGACTAGAACTTGACCCAAGCCCCAAATGACTGTCCCAGGGCCAGTGTTCTCCCAGCATGTCCCCCACAGCCCCGGCCTTGAGGAGGGAGAACACTTCCTGTGAAAGAATAGAAAGGTTGCCATGGAACCCACTCTTCACCTAACACCTCATTCACAGCCCTGGGAGGTCAGTAACACCAGCCCCGCGCTGTGAAGGAGGAAAGTGAAGCCCAGAGAGTCTAACAACCTTTCCTGTCACACAGTGAAGCAAATCCAAGGAGACCCACCACGTCCAAGAACGTAGGCTCTCACCCCCGTGGAGGGCGTCCCCACCCGCCCGTCCCTGCCACACCCATCTCCAAGGGCGCAGCGAAATGGGTTGAAGATGATGTGAAGACACAGGGAGAAACGAGACAAGGAACACCAGAGGTGACAGAGGTGACACAAAGGCCTGGAACAGACCGTGCCTCACACTCTCGGAAGGAACCGACCCTGCCGATAGCTTGATTTCAGACTTCTAGCCTCCAGAACTGTGAGACATCATAAACTTTGGGGTTTTTTAAGCCACCCAGTTTGGGGCACTTTGTTACAGCAGCACCAGTAAGTGAATACAAAGAAAACACTGCCATTCATACCAAAAAGAAGAGATGCTGAAGATATGTTTGAACAAATGATTTTTGTGATTTTAAATGTTTAACTCTGGCCCTGGCTGGTGTGGCTCAGTTGGTTGGAGCATCACCCTGTATACCAGAAGGTTGCAGGTTTGATTCCAGGTCAGGGCACATACCTGGGTTAGGGGTTCCATCCCCAGTCCAGGCACATACAGAAGGCAGCAAATCCATGTTCTCGCATGGATGTTTCTCTCTCCCTCTCTCCCTCCCTCCATCCCTTCCCCTCTCTCTAAAATTAATAAGCATATCCTTGAGTGAGGACTAAAAGAAAAACAATTTTTTATCCCTGGCCAGGTAGCTCAGTTGGTTAGAGCATCATCCCGATACACCAAGATTGCGGGTTCGATCTCTGGTCAGGGCACATGCAAGAAGCAACAAATGAACGCATAAATAAGTGGAACAACAAGTAGATGTTTCTCTCTCTCTCTCTCTCTCTCTCTCTCTCTCAAATCAATTTTAAATTTTTCTAATGTTTTTATTATTATATTTTTTATTGAAGAAAATTTGGAGAGGATCAGAAAGTATAAAGAAAAAAGCGAAAAGCACACACCCTCTTTGAAAGTGAAATTTCTGGGGGAAAACAACTCATACCTTCTCATTTCACACGTAACCTTTTGGTGTATTTCCTTGCTGGGGTGGGGGTGGGGGCAAATGCAATCGCTAGAATCTCCCTTGCAAAGCTGCTGTGATGCTTGAATGAGAAACTCAGTCAAGTTCTTGGCACAGGGCTGAGTACCCAGACCAGCACTGTGAATAGTAGATAGTGTGTCTATTTATATAGACATTGTATAAATCTGGAGTCATGCTATTTTCACTTCCCCTTTTCACTCACCAGCATATCTTGAATGTTTCCTCGTGTCTGTAATATTCACCGAGTGCTTAATATTTAATTTCTGCACAGCTTTCCATCTATCTATGAATGTGGTATAATCTATTTAACCAATCCCCTGTCATTAAACTTTTAGGGACTTTCCAATTTTTCCCTGTTATAAATAAGGCTGGGATAAATAATCTTTGATTTTAGTGAATAGCCTGAAAGTTGAATTGCTAAATCAAAGTGTAACTCTTTAGCCCTGGCCGGTGTGACTCAGTTGGTTGGAACACCATCCTGTACACCAAAAGGTGGT